TCTCATCTGATTAAGCTAGTTAATTGAAGTAGAGTAGGGTGATAGGCAGTTTGATTCAATTGATCCCAGCTCTGGTAAGTAAGATCCTCAATTTGGGGGCAGGAAGGACACTTAGGAATTATAGAATCTAACCCTCATTTCAAAGATGAATAAATTAAATACCAGAAAAGTAAAATGACTTGCCCACCCAATGGGGTAGAGTTACAAATGTGCTGTCAGAGTCAGGATTTGAACCCAGATCCCCTTAATTCCAAATCTGACACTTGAAGACAATGACTTCACAATGTCCAGAATAAGCTCATTATCCTCCATCCGAAACCCCTTCCTCCCCCAGACTCCCTACCTCTTCTTAGATTGCCATAGTCATTTTAGTCATTTAGTTTCAAAACTTTGGAATCATTCCTGACTCTCAGCTCTTCCCATTAATCCTTACTCTACCTAACTGCAAAGTTCTGCTAATTCTGCCTCCACAGCATTTCTCATGCCCAGGTCATTCTCTCTACTCACACACTCACTTCTCTAGTTCAGGCCTTTTGCCTGCACTATTGCAACAACCTCCTGATTGGATTCTTGGCTTCTAGTCTCTACCCCTCTAAAACGCATCCTCCGTATGGCTGCCTAAACAATTTCCTTTAAGATGTCTGTCCTTCCCTGCTCAAAAAAAACTCAAGCGGCACCATGGTGTCTCGAAGATAAGGTTACTCCTCAGCCTGATATTTAAACCTTTCACAGTGTGCATTTAGCATAATTGTCCATTATTTCACATTATTCCCCTTTATGTTCCTACCAAACTGGCCAACTAGCTCTTCCAACTCCATTTCCCACCTACTGCCACTTGACTTTGTTCTCCACTTGGAGTGCTTACCTTACTTACTTACTCTATTACCTGGGGGTAGCATTTCCTGATCCCAACTCCTCCTTCAGTTATCTTCTATTTAGCAATCAGTTTATGTCCTGTTCCTAAGTAGAATGTAAGCTCCAGGAGGACAGGCACTATTTGGGGTTCTTATTCTTGTAACTCAGGTGGCTTGGAGAAATAATAGGTAATAAATCACATAAATGTTTGTGGAATGACATTATTCCATGAAGCTTTGTGCTGACTTCTAAAGTCAGAATAAAAGAACAAAATATATATAAGGATAAGATTCCTCAGGGCTCTATAATCCAATTATTTTCTAAGACTGGAACTTTATTGTATTTTTACCCTCTCCATCTTCCCATTTTCCAATATTACTTTTCCCACCCTCTGGATTTCTTTTTAGCTCCTATTATTCCTGATGTTTGTATTATACTTAACTATATACATTGTATATGAACCCAGGAATGGAATTATTAAAAAAATCCATATGTGCCCAGAATAACAGTATTTAGTTAAAATTTGAATAGAGTTGAATAAATGCTTATTGATCAACTGACTAAACAAATAGATACCTTGATGCTTTTTGAAATCATCTTCTTGTCCACAGGCAGGATAAAGGCTGCTTCCAGTGTAAAAGAGAGTAGAAAAATAGACGCTCCCCCACTTCCCCAAGAGCTTCTGGAGCATCAGCCAGTAAATATTGGAGTTTATAGAAGGAGATGGGCAATTTTAAGGCAGGATGGTTTATTATTTCTTCCTGTCTGAAACTAATTCTCTGTTCCTACATAGTTAGCTCTCTAAGATAGATGGGAGCTCCACAGGGTATGCCCTGTTGGTGGGAAATGTATTTGAGGTCATCATGAGTGAGGTGAGTCTTGGCCACCTTGCTGTTCCTCGACCACAGCTCCCCATTTCCCAAGTCTTGTGTGTTAAACCTCGAATGATCTCACTCTTTATCTTCACCTTCTAGATTGCTTTGCTTTCTTCAGGTGTCAATTAAAGTCTCAATTTTTGCCAGATGCCTTTACCAGTCCTAAATTTTAGGGCCATCTCTCTGAGACTATCACTAAAGTGTAAATCTTCTTCCTACTGTTGAACCCCAATAAATTACAGTCTGTTCTAAGAGAGAGACAAATAAAATTAGGGTGTGTGTGTCCACAGTTTAATTTCTCTCAAGCTGGCTTGAACATGCATTGCATGGGAGTTCAGTCTGAAACTGGGTCCCCCTAAGGGGGTCAGTTCAGAACTAGCTCAATTTGGGATTTGAGGGTATGGGATTATATGCCCTTCAAAAAGTAGGTGTTCCCAAGGAATACCAATCAACTTTGATTGGTCAAAACTCTCTGGGAGGCTATATTAAAATGGGCTCTATTAAAATGAGCTCTTGAGTATGTGATTTAGGTCACTTAATCTAGGTCAACAGGGCCTGGTATCACCCACCATCCAGAGGAAATACAACACCCAATCTTTGGGCTGTGTAGGCAGAAGAAATATTTCTCCTCCCAAGCCTGAGTAGGATAAAAACAATTCAGGCCTAGGTTGGAGTTTGACCAGGACTCAATGCAATCTCATTATCAGTAATGTCCTGAAAACTTTGGAGCAGAAGAGAGGCTGGGAGCTCTGAGTCTCCAAGACACAGATCACTAAGAGAAATAATTTTTAACATTATGTCGTTACTTTCATTTTGTCCCACCTGTTAGACTGTTAGGCAGCTAGGTACCACAGTGAATAGAATGTTGGGCCTAGAGATGGGGCACCCAAGTTCATATCTATCCTCAGTTACTTAATAGTTGCGTGACCATGGGCACAAAACATAACCTTTATCTATCTTAGTTGGCTAACCTGTGAAATGGGCCTAATGACCACACCCTTTCTCACAGTTGTTTAGGAATTCAAATAAGATCATATTTGTAGAGTGCTTAGCATAGTGCCTGATGCAAATTAGACTCTTAATAAATGGCAGTTAACTGACTGACTAGGTCTCTTCCTTATTGCTATTCACTTCCTCTAAGAAGGATTGTTTTAAAACCTTTTTCCCCCTTTTGCTGAAATGGCCATTTGAATAGTTGGGAGTACTTAGTATTGCAGGAAAATCTTTGACTAGGTAATCAGCAAGCATTTACTTTGGAAATCTTAATATGCCTAAGGAAGGGAACTCTGGTATACTAAGGCTGTATGCTTCTTCTGCTCATAATTTGCATGGAGTGTGTTTTGCCTTTCTTTGTATCCCCACTGCTTAGTACAGTGCCTGGAACAGATAATTAATAAATGCTTATTAAATGATGACCCATCAGAGCTGCAATTTGATTGATAATTGATACAAGGAACTTTAAGTGAGAAAATTCCCTTCAAGTTTAAGGATCTTCACCTGCCCTGAAACTTTTAGTACTAGGAGGTTGTATGGGATGCTGAGAAATTATGTGACCTGCCCTGGGTCACTTACGCAGCATTTGTAAGAGACTGGCCTTGAACCTAGGTCATCCTGACTTGGAAATTGGCTCTCTCCCACCAGAGAATTCTTTCTCTTTCACGTTCTATTTTTTTTTCTACTACTTGAATGACATGCTTAAAGTAAATTTATAAGCAGTTTAGTAATGAAAGAGATTTAGTAAATTACATCTCTCTGTGAGTTAACATATATAAAGTGTTTTGAACTCCTTAATGTGCAGTATACAAGCATCATTGTTATCTAGTGCTTTAAGACTTCCAAACCTCATCGTTTGCCTTAGCTGATTTGATCCTCCGAATAGTTCTTTAAATTAGATTGTATATTTATTTTTACTTTGCAGATGAGGAAACAGACTCAGAGCATTTAAGTGACTTACCTAGGTCATATATCTTTTAAGTGTCTGAAATGGTATGTAAATCCATAGTCCTGGCTCAGAAGCTAGGTCTTTCTTCAATATTATTTAACTCTTTTGTATTCTATTTTCTTTTTCTTTCCTTCTTTTTAAAGTATTTATATGAAATACTTGAATAAAATAGACCATGTACATGGCAGTAGGTGCTTAATAAATGCTTCTTGATCTATTGATCTCAGGCTCCTAAGACCAGTTGTCTCTCTGCTCTGCCATAGTGATGGGGTGATGGGACTTGGACCCTGAATTTTCCCATATATTCCCGGTTCCTGAATTTTCCAACACATTTCAGCAGCCCAGGTCACTGGCATCTCTCCTGAGGCATCTGGCCCATTTCAGCCCACCTAGATATTCAACAATCCTTTCATAGTCCTCTTGACCCACCCCAGATCACTTAACTCCTTACCCTGTCTGCACCTGGCCCACCCCAGGCCATTTACCATTCTTTAATCCCATACAGATCTTTTCACTTTCCCTTTTTTGTATGTAATATCAGTCTCACCCCCATTAAGTTGCAGATTTACTAGGAATCTAGCCAGCTCCTTTTGGCTTTACAGTAAACCTTGTCACTTTGACTGAAAGAAGGTTTGAGTGTTTGAATTCATTCCAGGCAGACTTGCCCTGCACCCTGACATTTCAGGGTTCCCAGCAACCTCCAACCACATCAGTAGTGCCTTTTAAATGGAGCCAGTTGAATTGAATTGAGCCATTTATTTGACCAGGTGAACATTGGTCACCTATTCTTGTGAATATTTAAGATGGCAGAGTCAATCACCCCTGGAATGTATTGATGTTTCCACTTTGAAATTAGGTGTAGAATTATAGTTCTTTCACCTTTTACAGCCACTTTATTTTTATGCCATGGATTCTTTCTTGGAGTAGGTCAGACATACATATGTATTATTTAAATAGATAATACTCTACATACAAGGGATCACCAAAATGAAATGAAATTGAATGAAATAAGTTCCACGTGAAGATGAGTACAGATATACTTTTTGTGAGTATATGTATGTATCTCTGTTTCACATATTTGATTTTGTTAGCCCCATAGCCAAATTGACATGAGTTGCATAATTTATCATTCCAGTTTCTGGTCTATTTTGATATATAATTTCTTTCAAAGGACCCCTGTTTTATTTCAGAGATGATTACTTCCCTTTAAGGATTTTGAGTGGCTGTCAATCTTTTCCCCCCCAAGCAGAGGAGAAAACAACCCCCTTTTTAAAAAAAAAATCAGTGCCTATATTCTAAATATTTCTCTCTGTTTATATATTTTACAGATTAAAGGACTTACCTGAAGACAAAATATTCTGCAATTCATCAGATACAGGACAAAAGTTACTCTTGCTATTAGCAATTAAAGATGATGTTGTCGTGGAAACAGTTGATCCTGCTTTCATTCATTGGCTCCTTAAGAGGTAACAAGCTTTATTTTCTAACTTGAGGTTGGAACAACATCTAGGTCATGTGTCTAAATGGTTTTTAAGTGTTCTAGCAAACATCCAGCAAAAGTTATTTTCCTGATGGAAATTTCTGATTGTCTGTTAAGATTGTTTTCCCCTTGATTTTAGCAGGGCTCATTCTAACATATTCTAACATTCAGAACAAGGAGAAAAATTTAGGTCCTGCTACAGGTGCATTCCCATATATGTGTTATGGGGTTTCTAAATATTACTATATAGATAGATCTGCCGAGTAGAATATTATGCACAATTGATATGGGTAGAGACTGCTTGGGTGACAACTGGAACTATCCTATGTGATACTTGAGGTAATTTAGTGGTTATGAAGTTATTAAGTATACTGACTTTTATGGTACCTTTTTTAAGTCTGCAGGATTGGGCATTGTTTACTGTCACTCTCTTAATTCACCCCTGAGCCTTCACTGAGCAAATTTAAAGAAAACAAAAAGGAATGTATAGTTACATAGTCCTTGGCAAAACAAATTCTCACATTGGCCATATCCAAAACCACTATGTTCCTTTCTGCATTTTAAGTTCATCACTTTTCCACAGAAGATGAATGTTGTATTTCAACTTCATTCATTTGGACTTGTGGCTAGTCATTGTCTTGATGAGAGTTCTAAAGTTTTTCAAAGTTGTTTTTCTCTGTAATGCTGCTATTATTTTATAAGAATTGTGCACCTAGTTCTGCTCATTTCACTCTGGATAAGTTCAGAGGCCTTCCCAGTTTCCTCTGAAACTGCAAGAGACCTTTCTCAGTCCCTCTCCTCTCTCCCTACCTCCAGCCATTCCTTTTCCTAGATTATCTGTCATTTACTCTGTATAGATCTTGTCTGATGCCTCCCCTAGTAGAATGTGATCTCCTTGAGCAGTTACTATATTTTTACCTTTCTTTGTGTCCCCAGATTTTAGTACAGTGCCTGCTCTATAGTAAGAACTTAATGACTGTGTGCCCTGACTTAACCTCTCCATCCCTAAGTAAAATGAAGAGGTTGGACGAGAGTTTGTATGTAAGGATCCCCAGGGGTCATCTATTGACTTAGTTTTATTATTTAATATTATCTATGTTTTATTATATTTGTATTTATTTTCCTAATGACATTTTAAGCTGGTTCAGGCAGTATTTGGGAGTTCTGTGGGTCACATGGGGCCATGGATTTGAGCTAGATGGCTGTGATAGTTCCTTGAAGCTTTCATAGAATCCTATGGTCCAATGGAAATCTCAGTTGCCCAGGCTGCTCTCTAAGATGTTAAATCATAAAGCAAATGTCAATCTTTGTTGGTAGAAGGAGTTTCCACACTAGGACTTAACCTGCGTCAGTGAAACCACATATCTGGGAAAAAAAATTAAACAAACAAATAAATAAATGTGTGTGTATGTATGTGTGTGTGTGTGTGTATATATATATATATATATATGTATGTTTATATATACTTATATACATTTAAAGAAAATGATAGGAACCTGGAATGAAGTGCTGTCAATGACCCTAGATATTTGTTCAATGCCCTCATTTTATGGATTAAGAAACTAAGTCTTGGGAGATTCAATGACTTGTACAAGGTTATATCCAAGGCAGCACTGAGATTTCAGTCCAGGTCTTCTGGCTTCCAAGTCCGATAGTCTTTCTACTACCTCACCAGACAGATGGGAATGAGATTGTGGAAGGCCTTAAATACCTTTCACAGAGTAGAAAGGAAAGAGTTTTGTCATATTTGATTTTACATATCTATATGATTTAGTCACCAATGGGGAGGGGAGAGTAGAGAGCAGTGAGAGAGCAAAGTCAAAGAATATGATGTGTTTTGTACAGCAGTGCCATAAAGATAAATGCAGAGGAGAAGGGGAATAGCAGGTTTGAGTTGGGGGACAGGGAGAGGATGCAGATCATAAGCTCATTTTTGGATGTAGTAGGTTTGAAGTTCCAACTAGATATCAAGGTCAAATAATATCCATCACAGAATTGAAAATACCAAACTAGAACTCTGGGTAGAGATCAGAGATAAAGCTGTGGAGTGAAAGTATCCCAGAATTCCAGACTATTTTTAGAGAGCATTTAATCTAAGTTGCCTAAGCAGGAACCCTGTCCCCTCCCCAACCTTCCCTCAGAGTTCCCCAACAAGTGATCATCTTGCCTTTGCTTAAAGAATTTTCCTGAGAGGTAGACCACTTCCTTTCAAGAATCCACTTTTGGATTGCTCAATTGTTAATAATAATAATAACAATGATAACGATAATAATATCACCAAGCCTTGAAGGTTTGAAAAGCACTTTACAGATATTATCTCACTTTATCCTCACAACAATCCTAGGAGCTAGGCGCTATTATTATCCCCATTTTATAAGTGGTGAAGACTAATGCTGGTAGATGTTAAGAAACTTACCCAGGGTCACATAGTAACCTCAGACATAGTAAATATCTGGGGCTGGATTTGACATGACATATTCCTGACTCTAAGCCCAGGATTTTACTCACTGTAGCATCTAGCTGCCTTTATGAACATGAGGAAGATTTTCCCAACACTGAACCCAAACTTTCATTTTTGCAGCATCTCCCCATTGCTTTTGTTTCACAAGACAGATTTCCCTTCTACACAATAACCTTCAAATATTTGAAGACACTTCTTGTTTGCCCTGAGTCTTGTCTTCTGACTAAATATTCCAAGTTCTTTAATCACTCCTTGTGTGGCATAACCATGAGACCCTCCATCTTCCTGGGTTCCTTCCTCTGGATGCTTTCCAAGTTTTTCATAAAGTGTTATACCCAAACTTAAATACAACCCTCCACTTATGGTCCAAACTGGGCGCAGAACTGAAAGACTCATTTTGGACCCATGAGTTGACACTTCAGTATCTGTGATCTGATCAATGATGGCATATTTTTGGTTTGTACAATGGAGGGAGATAGAGATTTCTCCAACTCTTAACTTCTCCATCTTCTCCAACATGGCTATAACTACAGGGTTTCAATTGCACCCTGGAGTCCAAAAGCCTCCCGTTGTATCCCAGCTTCACTGTCCCAGCATGAGGTGTGATTTTTTTTGGTCTAGATAGTCAACCTTACTGCTTCTCAATTTTGTCATCTATAAAATGATGGCCAAATTGAACACTAAGAAAGGTTCATTCTAAATGTAAAACTATGTGAATTTGTGAATCAATCTGATTTACATTTCTTGTGTTCCCCTCAATATTTTACATGTCAGAAATGTACTAGTTTTCTTTTTTTCCCCCAAAAGTCCCCCAAGGAAACTCATCAAATTTAAGATTTGGAGATGAAAGGTGCCAGACTTAGTCAAAGTAAAAAAAGAGTTTAAAAATGGCTTGTCAATTCCTCTGAGATTCAGAAATGGCCGTGTGGGAGAGGCCAAATCCAATTATTAGATAGAAATGCATGTGTTTGAAGGTCTGTTCATACCTGGTACAGAATTCTGAATCTTTAAGTCTAACTTCAAGCTTCCTACAGAAATATAAAAGATTATATGTGGCACAAAATCAATAATAGATTATAGACTTTAACTGAGAACTTTGCAAAGAAAGCTTTTAGGAGATTTTTCTCTTTCGGTTCCGCAGTCTGGATCCTGAAACATTTTGTTTGAGCCCTAATGACTTAACAGTGAAGGACAAGGAAGTAATCATGTCCTCTTGTACCTCCAATGTGGTATTCAAAAATTATTATGTTTCTAAATAGAGGTTAAGCTGTTAAAATATCATTCTCTAAGCAGATAACAAGCACGTTTTAAAAACTAAATGGAAGTTTTCTGTATAAACATTTCCAAAGCAGCAATCTATATAATCATGCAAAACTGGAAATTACCTCAAAGTCCAGTAATGGTCAGGTGGCTAAATAAAAACTATGACTATTAAATCAATTAAAACATACAGTTTTGAGGCAGACATAAAAATGCAGAAAGACCATTATTAAAAGTGGAAATGGAAAATAATCAGAACCAGAAAAACTACAAGATATGAGGGGAAAATGAATGGACAAATAAAGAATAGCATGAAGATTTATGACAGGGTTTCATAAACATTTTGTTATCATAGACCTCTTTGGGAGTCTTGCAGGCCTTTGTTGTTGTTGTTCTGTCGTATCAGTCATATCCAAATTACATGACCCCATTTGGGGCATTCTTGGCAGAGATACTGGAGTGGTTTGCCCTTCCTTCTTCAGCTCATTTAACAAGTGAGGAAACTGAGGCAAAGAGGGTGAAGTAACTTGCCCAGGTTCACATAGCTAGTAAGTGTCTGAGGCCAGATTTGAACTCAGGAAGATGAGTCTTCCTACTTGCAGGCCCAGTGCTCTATTCTTTGCACACCCGAGCTGCCCCTGGCAAACCTTATGGGCTCTTTCTCTTAATAAATGTTTCCAAATGTGCAAAATAAAATATGACAAAGGAAACCAATTATTATTGAAATACAGTTATCAAAATATGCTAGGTAGAAAATCACACCGTAATTGCCAACATTCATTTTGGAAGATGAAGATAAAGAAAAATTCTAGGAAAGATTTGACTAGATTCTCTAAGTAGAATTAATATACACACATGGATTTTCCATGCTAAAATGGGGATAAGCGACAATGGTTGGAAAATATAACCTAGACTCAAGGAATAAATGAGACCAAAGGCTTATGATCTACACTGAAGACTCACTATGGTATGATGAATCCTTTCTTTAAGAAGAGAATAAAAATGGTACTTGTGTGACAAACACTGTAAAACAGCAAACAAATGAGGCTGAAAAAAAACTCTAACCGACAAGAAATTGGTCAGATGAAGCCATCACTTCCAAATCCACTGCCTTTGTAGATCATTAACAGCTCAAAGCAAAGGTCAAAGTAAACATAATTTTAGAAGAAAAGGGAAAGGGAAGAGGAAGACAAGAAGGCTCAGGTGATATTGGAGCACCTCTGATATTTGTTCTTTCTGTGTACTGCTGATGCCAAATGAATAAA